TGGGGGGGGGCTTAACGTTACTATTTTATTTATCAATCTATATTATATTGTTTGCTGTTGTGTTGGAACTGTTAGAATTGAAATAAAAACAGTAAGTATGGCAGTGTGACGTTAAATAATCATTATAGCTGAAATTCATTTTTTTCAACAATATCCCTAGTTCAAATAAATGTTAGTAAAATTGTAAAATGTTTTGAAATCTATCGAGTTTATAAAGAATATAGAATAGTACTTTTTACAGCAGAGGTGAACCAGAAACGCTGTCTTAGTTATTTTGATGAGTAAATGTTTTCCTACTCATAAATCTTGTTAATGAAATCTTTTTTTCCTAGAAAAAATGTGCAATAGAATCACCATAAATTGGTTCCTCTAGCTAGTTGATAACGAAGCTTATAGTCTGGGACTTAGTTGCATAGTTAAAAGGCATGTCTTCTGTATTGTGAGTAATTTCCCTCATCGTAAAAACAACCTGTTAGAAAAGTGCAAACAGAAACAGATCGAAATCAATATGTCTGCATGATGACAACGAAGGGAAACTATGAATAGAAGTCGTTCGATATGAGAGAAATTTGGTAATGTAAATCAAATTTCTCTTATATTACCAGATTATCTTGTTCATACACAATCTATTAAGGTATTCATTGTGACAAAAAAAATAACTCAAATTATGAAGTCAATAAATCCCATGCTGTTTTGACATGCTTATATTTTTATGTTTATCTTGTTTCGGCTCTACACTGTGAATATTTCTTTTGTTGTGTATCTAAGAATGATTTAAGTCTATAGTTAATAAACAAAAAAAGTCCATCTCAAAGGAAAATGATCCTTTAGTCGTAATTTTATTATACACAAAAGATTCTTTCTGTTCGAAAATAGAATTAATGAATAATAGTGGCTAAATTGAATAAACTTATTAGATCTTCAATTCATCACAAAACAATCACGAGCGGCCTTTGAACCGTAATTGGAACACTTCAGCGATAGTTAGTTCAACATTTTCAATAGTAATAGAAATCTCTAGACTACTAATAGATTTCTATATAGATGAACTTGAGAAATCAATTCAGTAGTATTCCACTTTATTTTTCCTCTACAACAACAAAAATAGTCATGCAAGAAGGCTTATTAGTGGGAAGACTTTCATTGAATATATAATGTATTTTTGCTATCTTTCAATGAGATTATTCTATTAAATTGAGCAATACACTAATCTAAAATACAATAATTTATTAAATCTAATATTTAAGATAAATTATGAATAATTAAATCATAGAATTCTGATTTGTTTTTTTTATTCAATTCAGAATGCTTTTATAATAATTAAATTCGTATATATCACATTATCAAGGGTCTATATAAATTGTCACACAAAAGAAGATAGACTGATAGAGATTACAAATATTCCTTGTAATTAATTGAATATGAGCCTAGAGTTTCATGTTCCCACTATTGACAATTAGTTAGATGTATGTGTTACAGGGGAGATTGAAATGCAGGACTATTTAAAATAGCGCTTAGGGGAAATTGAAATTTTAATCTCCCCTAGGGCAAATTAAAATTTTGTTTTTTTCCGGGCTCAATTTATGAGAAAAAGTAAAGGTTTTGATTTCAAAACGTACTGCATTCATATCCACACTAATACTAGCACCCATACACGCACCTACACCCACACCCTCATGTACACGCTACATCCATACCCACAAATAAGATGAGTGTCTTTTGCGCGAATTCAGGTATTTGGAAAAGACTGATGTGATGGAACTTGATAATTAGATGCCAATGTTGATGTGGGTGCGAATGTAGTACGTTTTGAAGTCAAAATCTTTACTTTTTCTCATAAATTGAACCCGGAAAAAACAAAATTTTAATTTGCCCTAGGGGAGATTAAAATTTCAATTTCCCCTGTAACAAACATATGCACTCATATAATAGAGAAATTTTTTCATTTCGTTCTGTCAAGAAAAGAATGTGAGTGTTATTGAAGTTGCTATTCTATTGTTTGAATCTCTTCTCATTGTGATTTCTGTAGAGCAAACAAAAGGAAAACTTGTTTGATTTAATACATAAGGATAATCATTGAAATAAAACTAATAATTTACGTTTGTTTGTAAGAGAGTATTCTTAGCATTCATCTGAATCTGAATGTATGTTAAATTATTTTCTGGTTTTCCCACTGTCGACAAATAAACTCGCAATACGATAAATTCCTCTTGAACGATCGTCTTATAACAGAGGGCTATTTTTGAATGAGCGATGCATCGGATATTGTAAAGTATTTCCCTTCATTAAATAGAACTTCAATTAATATGTCTAAATATAAATATATCTACCATACAGAGTTTCGACCTTACGATTTTTAAACTCGAAGCTTCTTTTGAAAATCCTTCAAATTATTGTGGATGTTTTAATAATTACTTTTTAGTTGGCATGATTTAGTCAATAAAATTGAACTGTTTTTAACTCAACAAAAAACTAGGCAAGATCCTTTTTCTAAGAGCACTCAAAATTATCTAAGATTCTTTATATATATATACAATTAATGTCTGTATGAAATAAGCGCTATCGATGAGCTAACCGAATAGGAGTTCTCAAATGACTAAATACTGTAAGTTTCAGATCTTCTGAGACTGTATGAAAATTAGACCTTCGTGTTGAAATTTTAAGTAGAACAAAAAGCTGTTACATTTTCTATGAAGTTCCTTATCAATGTTTAAAAAAACCGTTAAAAACTTGGTGACTTTTATTTTAAGGATTCGTAAAAGTCAAATAATAAGTTTTATTGGCGTTCTTTAAATGCCCAGGACCTTTGAGCAGAACACCGTAGGAAGTTCGGCGTCTACTGGCTTTATTAAGAATTATTTGTGAATTTTTAAATGGCAGCCTCAAGAACTAATTCTCATCGAACTGTCAAAGACCTGATTAATACCTTGTCAGGTTATGTGAGAAATATTCCACGTTGTTTTCACCTAAACAAGTACCCAAACTACTTAGCTCGTTTGACAGAGTATTCTTCTGTCTGCGGAATATTTAAGTAGGAAATTGATACTAGATAGCATCAAAGAACAAGAGACTGATAAGATTGCCAGTATTAATAGAAAAATTCAAATCCAACTAATTACAGTTCAATCTATTTTTGGTCTCCTTAGCAGCGTCTATGAAACGAAACAGTTCCTTGAATTCTTCTTCAACCGTTTGTCGACGTTTGATACTCTTCTATTGTTTCAATGCGATAATTGATTCCAATGATTTTTAATCATTGAACCATCGTATGAAGTTTTCTTTGAGTTCAATACTTGGTATCGTCGGTAGCATATGTCTAACAAGTAAACTATTAAATGTCCTGTTTAGATATTTTCTTTTCTGACGTAGTTCTAAATATTCTATCATGTCTGTAAATAGAATATTTTGTTTTACTTTTAAATAGATAGAAATGACATAATATTCAATATGTTTTCCTTTCTATTATTCATGTTGTTAAAAAAAACAATAGACAAAAAGAGAAAAACATTATTATCCATTCATCACACTTGTAGTAGACTAGAAGTTAAATAAGATTTTTTCCACCGATTAAATTCTTTTGTTTTCGTAAATCAATGCGACTTAAATTTTGCACACATGAACGCCGTTGAGATTGTTTAGTCATGGAATTTGTGTAGGGTACCGGTATACGGCATTTATCTAATAGAATAACTTGTGATTTCTTTTTTTGCTTAAAACGGTTTTGGTTTTTAGAATCAGAACATGACCGACACATAACACGAAATAGCCTTGCTATTTCACGTCGAAAACGAAGATTTGTAAATATATACGCATAGAAATTTACCGAATGACTAACATGGCGTAGTATATATGTTATTTCCGACCAATTATGTAATGTACCATCAGTATCTTCTAACATAATCATGAGAAAATAAAAAATTAAATAAGGCAAATAAAATATGGCATATGTCATCGATATAACAACAAGAGTTGAACGTGTTGAGCGATAATTGACTGAATCTGTACGGCATCTTGTTTTATTACGAGTTTGTGTTGAATAAATACGTTTTATAAAGGATAACATAGTTATATTAACAATAATTATCAATATAGATGGTAATGCTAGATTTAAAACGCCAGCAACAAGTATATTAAGTAATAACATTAATCGATCATTTGCATATTCAGAGCGTATTGTACAAAGTGTATGATGAAAGAATGATGTTGAATTTTTCTCCGTATTATAAGTGAATATTGTTTCGTTGATTAGATATTTTCGTTCTGGATTATATTCTAATACAAGCATAGAATAACTATTCGCTATTGAAAATATAATAATAAGAGCTGTGAGAACGATTATATTAGATTTCATTGTATTAAATTGGCGGAATATATGAATAAAACGTATAAATGTGAAGCATGTTATGAGCCATGAACAAAGTGCAGCACATAATCGATTAATCATGTAAGAACAAAAACATGAAAATGCAGATATATGCATTAGAGAGAAAAATTCAATTTTTTGCATTGCATAAAGATAAGCAATTAACGTATCAATAACCCAATACAGTAGTAAACATGTGTCTATGATAAAAAAAGCAAACTCATGAAATATCTTTTTTTTAAACATTAGTGAAATAAAAATATGATTATCTCGCACATGTCAAAAAAATCCTAGTTTTTCAATAGATTAGAGAAGATAGGAAAATTATATTTAAGAAAAATAAGTAAAGCTGACTTAAGTTGATTAGCTATTGAAAGAATTGTTTTTTCTTAGTTTTTAAAATAGCACAGCGTATGTACTTTTAATTTAGATCGTAGAAATGTAAATATATTTTCACTATTACATCTCCTAAAGGAGAGATGCGTTCCAGTGACATTGCCAGTAAAGTCATGAAATAGTAATGTACTTTATCTATTCTAACTCGACAAGAATAATGGGATCTTATGTTGCAGTTTCTATTAAAGAAATTTGAATCGAAGAAAACGCTTTGCGAAGATTAAACTCTACAGAAAGAACAATATCTTTCCAAAATATCAATTGAAATAATAATTTTCATATACAAGATTTTTTTTTCTGAATAATTCACAAAAATTTTCAATAGCAACTCTACGGACAAATGAATGAAGATGTATCTACAATTAAAACGTTCATTGATGTTTTCAGATTAGTACCTCTGTGCTTTTCATAAATACTAGAAACAACATTCTAGAGTTGAATACATTTTTCGTAAGTGTTTTACAACAGATAAAATTACTAATGTAAATCAAAAGTCATCTTACGATGAACAATCAATTGTCAAATATCTAATCTAGTAATCCTATATTTTTAATTATGATAAATCTGTCTGACTTTGTAGATTTTTTTCTACATATAACTTACCTAAAATAGATATTTCAATAAGGTAAAGATGAAATCCTTTTGGTTGAAAATGTATTGTTCGATGATTAAGTGCTTTTATTCCAACAATTATCGTTAGAATATTTCCAGGTAATCCAAATAAACAACAAATAGTTACCATCGTTCGACGAAAAATAGTTAATGGTTCATTCGACCACATTTTTAATTATACGCATTTCTTTTCTTCATACTATTTATACATACTTAAATATCTAGAATATAATCAATGTTATTAATATGCATAGATTTGTGAGAAACAGATATAGTTTCCAGGAAAGTCATAATTTGGAAAAATAAAGACTGGCGTTTGCAAACCAAGAGCTATAACTAATAATTATATAGAAAAAAAAATAACAGGAAAGAAAAATCTAACAAGAGACTTAGCAAATATAGTGCCGATAAGAATTATGGAAAAGAAAACATTATGACCTGTTCATAAAAGAAAATTTTTATCTTTCAGATAACTATGTTAAACAGAATTCTGTTCATTATATGAGAGACATAATTATCAGCAAAAATTTTTAAATGAGCCATCGAGCACAATAGATTTCTAGCGTGTATGGTCAACACAGATATGAAATCGTACTTCTTATGAATCAGGAAGTTCAGTACGTGTGTTCACACTTCCGTTGAAACTTGTGACAACAAACTACGAAAATTGTTACTCCTCTTACTTTAGCAAACACACGCGTATGCTTAAGAAAAGTGAAAATCCAAGGAAAAAAGCATAGTACTCATTAGATTGTAAGTTTATGCTAAAATTTCTTTTAAGAGACAGGCAAAACAACGAGAAAAAAAGACAAATAAGGATTTTTTCAACACTCGATGTAAAAAAAGCTTAAATAAAGTTATCTGTCGAACAATTCTGTTAACAACAAAGCATAGACTGAATGAAAGCTTATTATTGTTGTTTTCTTTGTTCTTTCATTGATTATAATTGTTGTTTTCTTTTTCTATGTATAATCGATGATTATAGCAATGGTTAATATCCGATTATAGGTATATTCTACGCTGTAGGAAATTATTTGGCAGAGTTAGATTTATTCTAAAAAAAAATCGAAATCATCTGAAATTGACATAGTTAGTAATTGTAAAAATTAGTTTACTTATCGCTTAAATAAATTATTTTTATTCGCTTCGTCTTAAATAGAATACATGTTTTAAATCGATTCCACATCAAGTCTTAGAAAAATTATCTTTCATAAGATCGATAAAATCTATGTTTACATAACGTTCGATTTATTAGATTTCATTTAATCAAATTATCAAATAAATAGTAATTTGAATCATCGTAGTGCATCGCCGAATATATATTTCATTTGTAGCGATTCTGAAATAAAAACACGCAATAGATGAGAAAGCAAATCCAAGAATGAATATTGCATTATCAAATTGACTTCAAAAATGAATAACAGAATAATTTACATAGTTAACCACTAATTATTAGAGATAACTAATTTACAAATAACGTAACATAAATCATCCATTTCAAGTCGCCTTATGCCATATAGAATCACTTGAAATGCTTCAAACAGTTCTGTATACGCTCTATACAACAGTAAATGTCTGTCATAAACATATATAATTATGTGTATATATATTCGAATAGAATTGTTTCTTCTTTGAATAAATTATACCAGATCATAAACTAATTTCTATTTAACAGATATTTGTACATGCTCTTCGTACTTTCATTTTATCCAAGTCATAAGACACCTATGAACATGTTGAGGTGTACTTGCCAGATAATCATAAGTGTTTTTTTCCATGCAATCGAAAAATAAAGTTATCACGGCAAAAATCAATAAGAAATGGAGTATGCATGGAAGTTATATTCGCACTCATAAGAGAATATGATTTTTCTCTGTGAAATATCATTTTGATTTTTCTAATCTATAGGGGTTCATTCCTATGTTAAATATGTTGTAACTAATAATAGATTACTTACAAACTGTTTATCTTCATCGATCTATGGATTGATGATGATGATAATGATCATCATATTCAATAGAATAAACTCCTAGTATAAGTCGGTTCTAGAATAATAGATTCGCGTGCAATCAGAAAAATAATTTTGAAATAGCATTAGAATTAACAAAAGTTAGTCATTATTTTAATTAAACCAATAAATCATTTGCTTTTTCTTCGATCTATTAATGTCGGTGGGAAGTATTTTCTTTATTTTCCTGAATGAGAGTGCTTGAAGTGACTAGATTTTATTTCTTTTGTCTGTGAATAAATATAATGATCCTCATAGGAGAAATAAAAGTAGTAGAATTGCCGAATATCTAGATGGTCGTCCGGATTCTTTCCCGCAAATTTTTGGAAAAGAATTTCCAACTGATTACGACAAAATTCGTACTTTGTTTTGAAGTATTCTATGACGCTGTTTTTGCGGAATTCATCGGTTAATATTGATGAATGAGTCTGGTATGGAGAGGAAACAAATCTAAACGGACAGAGCTAAACTAATAGACCTGGAAATGGCAAAGCTAATTATAGTCTATATGACGTTGATTGTCTCTCATTCTGATTTTTTTCTGTATAAAGACATTCAATTTAGTCTAATCTAATCCTTTGCTTTTTTGCTCGACTGAATCATGCTCTGAAAATATTAAGATTAGTATCCAGATAAAAATATGTCATGCTAACCGTTTATCTCCTTTTTGAAAATATCTTTTATTGCCACCATATTTATGTGTAGGCAAAAAAGAAGAAGATAATTGCCTACAAAATTGCATAGCGATCTATAAGAATCAGTTGAGTTAGCTTTTGAAAGTCTCAAAATGAAGAAATTTCAAAAACTAAAATTCACATTATTCATAAAAATATTATGCCAGCCTAATAATGAAGATATCATTTTGTTCAGAAATAAATGTCTCTTTTTAAATTCTCTCTTGAATCATTGATTTGTTTAGCTTTCTAAGATTCATTCACAAAATTGTACTGCATGAATTTAATAAATATTCTGAAGTAGCACTTAATATTGCTTCTATCTCAACGAGAGAGCATTATGCTGTTTCGAAAATTTTGCACCTAGCGACAATTTTGTTGAAATATTAAAATCAAAATTTGTAATCAGACAATCAATATGAAACAAATGTCTAAAATCTATGAACTTACCTCATTTTTGTTGGATGGATTAAAAGTAAATCTTCTTGCTACCAACAAAGCTCATGAATTCTAAGACGAAGTACATGAATATTGAATTATAATCCAAAGAAAAAACAAAAATAAGCTCGGTGTTTAGTTTTTACACGGATAATTAATTAAATACTTTTAATGAATAATCCCATAGAATAGTAGTAATAAAAGAATACAATCATGTCGACTAGTTGTTTTCAACGTGACTTTTAATTCCTAAAAAATGAATTTCAGCAACGTCAATTTTCAACTTACAATCATTCTCAATCACCATTCTTATTTATCTAATGAAATATATACACAATTATAGTCATGTATATGACAGCAGTACATTTAAAGTCACATTTCATCATGATTGTAGTTTAATATGACTGTTATCAAGTATAGCACTTCTCTCGAGCGTCTCAATAAAGATGTATGCTAGAAAGGATTATGAAAATAAAAATCATAAAAGAAAAAATTGCTATACCAGATAGTCTTCAATGTTCTCTGGAAAATATTTCATAATATTTAGTGAAATTTTACTATAGAAATATCCTAGATAGTTTTAATGGTCAATGTTATTTTACTCAATGATGATAGTAGAAGAATGTTTGTAAGACACACGAGTAAAACAGATAGACTATAAATAAGACAAATAATGGTGCCGTTATTTTTGATCCTGATTAAAATTATGTCAAAAGATTGAAGAAGAGAAAAAAAATGTACTGCCATATATGAATTTTTATCATTATAATGAGATCATGTTGAATGAGAACTAAATAAATGCTAGTTGATGCTCTAAATATGAGCATGACATAAAGTTTATCCTAATTTTGAGCTAAGACAAATGGATTTTTCTTATCCTCTCTATTTGTCCCGATAAATGCTCTTTTTTTTTCTTTTTTTTTTGTTCTTTACTGTTTGATTGATGAACAGCTAAAATTAATGAGCAACACACTTGATAATCAATTAATATTAAAAGCACTTCTAAATCAATAAGTTAATTTTTTTGTTGTTAAATTCAATGATAAATAAAAACAAAAAAATAACTTTCTTTTCATTCTGTTCTAATCATCACTTGACGAAACAATACAAAGTTAAAATTAAGAGTATAAATGGAAAGAAAATGTTCGTTTTTTGTTTCTTTTTTAAACTCTTAACTGTTCTTTGTTGATTTTTGCTAAATGGACTCGACTTATTTTTTTTCTTGGCTTCATTTTTACATTTGTTTGTTGGCCTTGCCAACCTTGATTATGTTTGAATGTTTAGAAAGAAGAAAAAGAAAATAAGAAAAAAAAGAAAACAGTAACGATGGCAGTATGCGATCAATCGCCACTTAATTGTAATACCATTTCTTTGCCTTTTCCGGAGTAATAGTTATATTTGAAGAGAAACTTTTTCTTTTTTTATGCCCACTAATATATCGGCATTGGCTCTGATTTTCCTTGTTTAATCGATAAAGAGAACGATTGTTAAGTTTTCTAATCAGTCAGGCTATCGAACGGTAAGTGCCTATCATCACGGTAAAGAAATGAAGTCTTATATTATAACATGACTTTAACGATTTTAACTTAAAATATTAATGAAGCTGTTCTATTTTTGTTTTAGGTTAACTTGACCACGAAATTAAATTATTTCATTATTTCAAGATATAATTATGTCGTACGCATTAAATTTATTTATTTAAACCAAAGAAATAAAGAATAAAAGAAAAGAAACGATTTCTAATTGAAAGTGAGATAATTTAAACCAGTTTCGATGTGAAATTCTGTTTTGCTCACGAATACACATACACAAATACAAATTTGAGTCTTCACAGATTTCAGCACTATCATAATGCTACATAATTTACTAATCTAATTTTTATGTTTTTCTTTTTATCTATTTCTCTTAGTTATCCAGCTGGACAAGATTTAAATTCATTTATTAATACATCTCGTATTCAGCGCGCTAATTCATTAATGGTCGGCTCAGCAAAAAGCTCAGTTACCTATCCGGGATCACACCCTTTTGAAACGCGTAGTGAAGTTAATTTCAGCTCAGGCAATTCTCTACGAGCATTATCACCAGATGACATACAGAAAATGAAATATAAAATTGAACTAGGTAGGAACATACATATTTTTTATGTTTTTATTGTAATTAAAATCAGATTTGTTTTAGATAAGCAAGTAGCTGAAAAAAAAGAACGTCGTGCTCGCGAATGGGAAACTAAAATTGAACGAGAGAAAAAATATGTAAATAGTGATGCGTTTTTCTTTTCTTTCATGTTGATAATTGATTTAAACGGGCAATAGCAACATTTTTAACAACCTTGACAATGGTCTCTGTTCTCTTTTTACTTAAAACAATTTTATAAGAGAAAACAAAATCAACATATACCTCTTTACTCATTCTTAACGACGTATTGTTATTTAAATAAACATGCTTGTGTAGGTTCGACATCAACCATTTGGACAACACGGCAATACTACTATTTTAAGTAAGAGTACCATTTCTTTTTTTCTTCTTCAGTAAATTATATTAAGAAATAATATTATTTGATTAGATACACACGAATTGGAGGAAATTTTAACAAAAGGCCGTGCTCCGTCACCAGTCTTAGATATGCCACAACAGTTACCACTTAGTTATCCACAACCGTACATGCAAAACGGAAATAATATGTACGATTCACCACAAAGGTCCATATATAATTATTCTCCTTATAGTAACTATTCGAATGGACAAACGAAACCACTATCTCCACAGAAACATGAACCGGATCCGAGCAATTTTAACTTTCATGGTTTCTATGGGCCAGTAAGTCTAAATAAAATTATACTAATTAGTGTAGTGCATACATTTCACAATCTATAATGATAACTCAACAGAGAAAAAGATAGGACAAGGTTTTCTCACTAAACGAAATTCTTAGATCAAAAACTCAGTTTATTATAAAATAAAAACATAATTAAGCTATTTAAATAATCATTCAAGCATGCAAATGGTAATATTGATCCTTCTAAACAATCTTCATCAACATCGAATGGTACTGCGCAACCAATTAAAGGCGATGCACACGATCCATTTCTTTTGTTTGGTAAATAAAACGAAAAAGCAAAAGAGGAAAAATAGAAAACACTTCACATTTTTTTCTGCTTTTCTCTATTAGATCCAAATAAAGAAGGCCAAAATGTTTTTAATATCATTCCTCAACAAGATTTATATGATCCCTGGGGACGACCAGGTGGTGGTGCTCCTCTAATTCATCCACCAACTGGACAAAAATTTACAAGATACTCGGGAAGTTTACAGGAAAAACTAGTAAATGATTCTTTTTTTTTAGTTCTATTTTCAACCATAGCAACATTTGAATTTTTCTAGAATAAAGTTGGACCATTAGGTTTTGAACGAAGACACTACTCGGGTAATATCGATGAACAAAAACGTGATCTTGAAGTAGAACATAGACGTCGACAACAAGAGGAAATGGAACATCGATCAAATGTAAGCATTGCTTTATTTACTTTTACTTTTTCTCTTTTCTCAAAATTTACTTTTTCCGTACTATAGGCCGGTGATACTGCTGAATGGATTTCACAACTTGAAAGTAGTCGTTATCCATTAAAATTACATTTACCGACAACACAAACAACTAGAGAAGTGAATTTCTTTTGTATCGAAACTGTTCTTCAATTGAAAATTTAATCGAATAGTATATTGGTGCACGTGATCGACATCGATCTGAAGAAAGTCGTGCTCTACACAATGATCTTGTTCGACAAGCTGATGAACGTTATCGAAATCAACAAATACATCGATATCATAATAGTATTGCTGAGTTACAAGTACAAAATTGATTTTTATTGACTAATAGAACTATAAAACAAATATTATTCTTCTTAGCATACTGAAGCACAGAACAGCTGGTGGGGTAGAAGTGGCGGCGGTGCACCATCAATTACAAATCGACGCCATAATGTTCAAGCAACATTAGAAACTCCACGACAAAGATTTGTATGATTTTTGTTTTTGTTCTGAATAATGACTAAAATTTTAATTTTAGACAACGAATCATCTTGGTCAATTAGTTGTAGCTGACGATGGCCCTCCAAGTCAAGGAAAAGTTTATGACTCAGATTATTACTATCCTAAAGTAAAAGGCTTTTCCAGTCATCGAAACTTTTATCAAGCACTTGACGATAAAAGACTTTGAAATATTAGTCTTTTTCCATTTATTTTTTCACACTATGAATTTTAAACAACATTAAATAAACTATAAAACATATTCATAACGTAAACTTATATAAATTAATAATATGAGCCATCCCATAATATTCTATAGGAATCAGAAATTTCTATATATATAAATGTTATCGTAGTTTAGACACACATGTACATAAGCATTGAAGCACTTGAAGAGAAGTTTTGTCTACCAAATTAATAAGATCGCCTAGTTTAATATTTCTCTAATTGTAAAAGGTATAAATCTAATTGGATTAACTGTCTTATCTTGTTTTTTTTTTGTCAAAGTAACTTTTTAAAAACACTGACTACTTACCTATTTTTTTCCTTTGAGAAGAATAAACTTGAGCAAGCTGGATATAAATCTAATTTTAATTTATAATAATTAGACAATGAATAGAGTAATATTATTGATACTGCTAACTGTCAATATATATATATATATATATATTTATGTGAGATTGCGTGCGAATAAGAAAAAATAGAAACGACTACTCTGGATCATGATTAAAAATAATCCACTAAGTGACATTGCCAATGGGTAATTGTTCTATCGATGGTAGAAGGGGAATGTTCACGATTTTGAATGAGCATCAAAATATGAAGAGCTAGTAGTAGTTTATACGCTTAGTATCAACTTCAACAAAGATTTTTTTGACTATTATATGCTTTGGAAACTATTGTTCAAAATGTTTTAAAAAACTGAATATCGAAAATTATAAATAGAAATTGTCTCAGTCTATTTTTTTCATATTCAATAATGATTCACTCGTTGATGGTTCCATACTAAATTCAATAATAACCAATCAGCTTGTCATTTGAAATCACTATCTGTACACTTCAAGGATTCTAAAACTTATAGAACGCCACAAATCTTTTGTTCGAATAAAGTAAAACTTATTCTTAGCCCTATTCACTTCGTTAGGATACAGAATGTTGCGTTATGATCATGCAAGTGTAAAATATAAGAAAGAATGTAGTCTTTTGACAAAAAGAAAAGTAAACATATTTTTGATCGTTTTCAATCGTTGACGTTCTTTCTAGAGAAAGAAAAATAAATCAGCTAAAATCGAATTATATTTTAAGTGTTTATTTATTTTTTCTATACATCAAGGATATTAGTAAAATGCTGAAGTATATAAAAGCTTTTTTAATACTAATTATTGGAATAGACTTGCTGTCACTAATATATTATTAATGGCGCTATGTATGTGTACGATATACTGACTCGCGTACGCCATTGAATGTTACGTCAGCTGAAATAGAAAAAAGATATAACATCAAAGAATTCTCGCTTTTGTGATTATTTTAAACGCATAGAAACTTCAAACTTCCAAGTAATCACTAGTACAAATAGTCAATATGATGTGAAAATTTTGAGTTTGCATAAATAACTACAGATCCATCAATCCTGGAAGGTAAAAGAACAAATAAGAATAAACTTGGAAAATATCGAGTTTTCTCTCTAAAAGAATATTCTATCTTTACTGTGATAATTATTTTTCTTCAATCCTTGCTCTTTCACAAATTAAACAATATCTATAGATCAGTATAATAAAGTAACAGTTGCCTTCTAATCTAAGTTCCACATAAAAGATTAAAAAGCTTACCCATGTAATAAAAACTGCATGAAAATCGGCGGTTAACCGCGGTTTTACAGAACCGGTTACCGGCTCTCATTACCGCAGAACGGATAAATACCGCGGTTACCGCTAAAAACAAGTGGTTAACCGGTTCGTCTATAATCTTTGACAGAAAAAGTCTTCCAAATCATCAATTAAACTATTTTAATCATCCTTTTTTTTTACTTTTACATGCGATAAACATGAGCAAAAACCGCCGGTTTTACCGATCCGGTTACCGGCTCCCATTACCGCAGAACGGATAAATACCGCGGTTTGCCGCAAAAAATGATCCGGTATTCGCAACATGGGTACTCTTTATGTAATTTAATACAAAATCAAAGATAAATGCATTCGTTCAGCTACCCAGGTCGAGCATTACAGCTACCGGAAACAGTCGTATACGGCCGTAAACGTTAACATATACTGCTGTTTCTCACCGTAAATAGCCGTAACTTGATGTTTTGGCATGCACCGCATTACCACCGTAATTAATCGTGTCGTATGCGGCCAATAACGACCGTAATACGGTCGAAAAATTGAGTAATCGACCGGTTACGATTGTTTACGGCACGTTAAAAAACGGCCGTTTACGACCGTGTAGCTTTCACCTGGATAAATGAGATAAATATTTTATTGTTAGAAGTTTTAAAGCAAAAATATTCAGAAGCATTTATGTAGCTTATACCACAAAATTAGTATTAAAACACTGGTGTAACAAAGTTACATAAAAATAATCAATTTGTAAACTCAAGGCACTCGGCCCTGCCTTTGGATCCTGCCGGAACCCATCGGAACCGGCACCAGATCATTCCAGAAGCCTGCATGTTTCACACTAAAATCTACCAGGATCAGACAGGGATTTCGCCGAAATCTCTGCTCCCGGAATCCGGGCCGAAATTCAAAGGAAAATGGCCCGGTCGTTTCCTGTCGGATAATGCAACCAAGCATTATCAAAGCCGATCGACCCAGACTACCGAATGATCCCGGGTTCACAAAGGCTTCACCACATATTTAACCGGATTCCATCAGATTCCGATGACAAGGACCTCATAAAAAATCTCTCATACAAGCGTTCTTCAGTCACACGATGAATCAACTGTAGTCTTCAGAAAAACGTACACCAACCGACACGACTACACCTCATGAATAATCACACATAATCCAAACCCTCACCACCCTAACGGATCCGCAACACGCATAACCCCAACAGCACCCACCCTGAGAAAAATTGCAACCCGAAACCAACAACATTTTACTCACCAATACACACGCTCAGAATGATATAGAACCATCCTACTATACATCGTATTCATTAAACGAATTATAGACCCCTTTACTGGGACATTTTGTACCATTTTAATTCTTGAAAACATCCCTCCAAACATCACTTTGCGCGCATCGAAATCATTAATAATTCATAGATAATGCATCTGAATATCCTTCTGGACTAGGGTTGCCACCTCTTCCGCTTTTTACGGAAAGTTTTCGCTTTTCCACTTTTTTCTCGTTATTTTTCCTCTGTTCCGCTGTTTTCCGCTTTTTCGTATAAAATGTGTTGCACATCAAGCCTACGTACAGAATAATATTTGAAATTATCGAATCAATTCTTATCGTTTACAAATAACGTGAGCCATCATTCTTTTATGTTTTGAAACTTTGATGAAGCCCGGGGGGGGGGGGGGGGGGGGGGGGGGGGGGGGGGGGGGGGGGGGGGGGGGGGGGGGGGGGGGGGGGGGGGGGGG